TTTTTATAAATTGTATTTAATTACATATGTAATATTCATTTTTAAAAGAGAGATTCTTATGAAATAAAATTATATACATAATTTTGAAACAAAATAATTCATGAAAATTTAAAGTTAATAATTAAAATGCTATTTTCAGAGTAAGCCATATAAATTCAGGATAAATCAAATACTGAGAAGAGTATATGAGTGAAATCTTTATTTGATTAAAATGTCTTTTGGGACTTTTCCATCCAATCATCAAACTAAAAAGTTAGAATCATAAATTTGAATGAGAACATCCTTAATTATCTGTTGAGCATTCTGGATGAATTAAAAATTACAACAGAACTTGTTTGATTTATAGTCTCCATCTGTTTTTAATAGCAGAATCATCAATTTTGTTTTTTACATCTCAATTAAGTCCTGAAAAGCATTTAATCAAGAAAATAGATTTGACTCCTATACTCTTCTTAGTATTTGATTTATTCTAAAANTAATCAATATTAACTAATCAAAATCTACTTAATTTCTATAGTTTTTAATACAAACTTAATAATCAATTACAAGAACAATTTTTATAAATTGTATTTAATATTACACATATAACAAAAATTATTAAGTATGTGGAGCATAAAAACTAAAATTCATACTTCAAGCAGTGGCCATAGCAAAAGATTGCCACTACCAGCAGCTATATGCTCAATTAGACACGCCAGAAGGCACTAACCAAATTTACTGCCTTGCAAAAGCCTGCCACAAAGCAACTGAAGACATCAGCCAAGTCATGCAAATCAAAAATAGTCATCAACAAAATCCTGCAAAATCTGCAGGATATCCTACACTGATGGTCTGAGTATTTTGCGATGAGGAGTTCCCCCACCCACCCATCCTGGAGTCATGGCCTATTCATGGATCTGTGTCACCCATAACATGAGAAGTCAAAGCGACCATACAAAGGATGAAAAATGGAAAGTAACAGGTCCAGATGACATCCAGCTGAAGCCTGGACGTTACTTGGGGATAAGGGCACTGAAACCCTCACTGAACTATTTAATCATATTACAGCTGAAAATAAAGCCCCCAGAGCCTGGATGACAAGCATCACAGTGCCAATCTGGAAGGCCAAGGGTGATGTCAATGAATGTGCAAATTATCGACCCATCCGCTTACTCTGTCATATAATAAAAATCTTCAAATGCATCATAGATAATTGCCTCCACATTATTGTGTCCATTACCCCAAACCAGTGCGGCTTTGTCAGGGGCTGCAGGACCACAGATGCAATCTATGTGGCATGGATGCTTGTTGAAAAGCACTGGGAGAAGAACCAGACCATATATATAGCAATCCTGGACCTCAAGAAGGCCTTTGATAGGGTCCCACAAACTTATCTGGCAAGCACTGCAAAACCACAAAGTCCTTGAAATCTATGTGAAGTAGACCCAAATGCTCTACCACAATGTCACAAGCTCTGTCAGATGTCCTGTGTAAATTTTGCCACCATTTACAATTAATATTGGAGTTCACCAGGGATCTGTGCTGTCGCCGCTGCTGTTTATTTTGTTTATGGATAAAGCAACTGCTGATATATAAGCGCCCCACCCATGGTCCCTCCTGTATGCAGATGACCAGTGAGACTCGGGACAACCTGCAATACCAAATACAAGAATGAAATGATTGCCTACAGGCAAACGGCTTGCAACTGAATCTTGGGAAAACTGAATACCTGGAGTGTGGGCAGCAAAATCCTGGCACTATCAATGTCAGCAGCAAAGAACTCACAAAAACCACCCAGTTTAAATGCCTGAGCTCCTTGATTACGTCTGATGGAGACACCCTTCCTGATGCACGGGCACGAGTCAACACAGCATGGTTGAAATGGTGACAGGTCACTGTTCTCTGTGACAAGAAAATGACCATTCAACTTAAATCAAAGATCTATAAAACTGTCATCCAACCAGTGGCATTGTATGGGACAGAGTGCTGGCCAGTGACTGTAAGGTATGAGCAAGCTCTTCATGGAATGGAGATAAAAATGCTTCACTGGTCATTAGGCCTCACTCGATTTGACCATGTTGTGAACACTGATGTCCACAAGATCATGGGAGTGGTGCCAATTACTGAGAAAATGTGAGAGACCTGTCTACACTGGTATGGCCATGCAGTCAGAAGCAGCAAGCAATCTGTTGCAAAAATGGCCACCTATCTTAACCCAGCTGGACAACACCCTCAAGGGAGGCCAAGGAATGCTGGATGGACAGGATAAGAGAAGATATACGGCTGGTGGGTGTCACCCCGGTTGACACCTTGAATCGAAAAAAGTGGAAATTGGCATGCCAAAAAGTAGACCCTGTACCACAGCAGGACTAATGCTAGGACAGACAGAGTTACAAATTAAAAATATCAATTAAACAATTTTTAAAGTAATTAAAGTACACTTTTTTAAAAACAAAAAAGTTTAAACTTTTCTTTCTGTTTAATTTTATATTTGAAATTGTTAGCAAATTCAATAACTAAACTGACATCATATTATTGCTTTTTCTTTTTACTGTTTTAAACTGTTTTTTTTACAGAGAAATATTACAGGAACTTCCAATAGTAATTTTGATGAAAAATTGGTTCTGTTCTTAAGATTACATACAATAAAGTGATATATTTTTATAAAAATAAAATAAATTTAAATGAATTAAAATGTTTTCAAAACAATCATCAGAATACCAATATATTAAAAAAAATTCTTTCATGTCATTAAAACATTTAAAGATACAAGAAACAAATTTTCAAATTTAATTTGATTTTACTCTATCTAAACTTAAAACAGTCTTTTTACAGACAACTGTTCCAATTTAGAAGAAAAAAACTTAAATTCAGATCCATTCAGATGTAGAGCAAATAACATAAAATATAACATTTTCTGAACACACTATTCTTAAAAGGCACAATTGTAGATTGGAAATGTATAAAAAAAAATTATCCAAAAGGATCTTAATATTGCTTTAAAGAATAGTTGAAGATAGGAAAAAATAATAATAATTGATAATAATAGAAAAGAAAGAAGACTGACGCTTAGATTAGCTACTAGGGAAAAGTGCTGAAAAGAGCAAAGTTTAATTGGTTTAGAAAGCAGTTCTTCTTATCTTTTTTTCATAGAAATCTTTTATTATAATTATCCTAAAAAATTTTAATCATTTCATTGTCAGTAAATATAAAAACCATTTAAGCAGAAAGACAACCTTTTCAGAACCTTTTTTTAATCTCTATTTTCTTTATATTGAAGAACTATTTGTAAAAAAAGAATACTACTTTAAAAAATTGGAATAAATAAACAAGTTAAATTTGAAAAAAAAAAGTATGTTTTCTTTACTTATTTAAACACTTGAAATATTGTTTTTATTAAAAACTTTTCATTCTATAAAAACATATCTATGCCAAAAATATTTAAAATTAAATTACTTATAAATAATTACTTATATCTCTTATGTAAAGTTTCATAATTACAAATTAATACATAATTAATTAAATTTGAGATCAACCTAATTTAAAAGAATCAAAAAATTTTGATATGAAATCACCAATAAATATAAAAATAAATTGAAAATACAGGTAACCCCCGTATAACATGGCACTTCTATAGCACGGATTCACTCTGACATGGTTTGAGAATTGGGTAAAATTCTTGTACAACAGGAAATGTAATAAATTTTTACATACTTAAGTACTAATAGTTCACGAAAATTATTATTTTCGTGAACTATTAGTACTTAAGTATGTAAATTTTCTCTTTTCGCCTTTCTGTCGATACACGTGGTCCTTCTCGAAACTTGTTTCANCCATCTTTAGAACGAATCAAAGGTTGGACGGACGAAGATATTAATCCGTTTTCATCCGCGAGTTGATTTGTTCTAAACTGACATTTGTTTCACTATTCACTTGTTGTATTAAATTTTGCTCAATTTTTTAAACAATAAAATATATAGAATATTATTAATAATTACAAAATAACTTATTAATGAAATGCACGTTTAAAGATTTTTTATTTGTTAGTAAAAATAATAGATTATTAATTAATTTATAAAGGTAGTAACCACTATGGGCCCCCATGTTTTCTCCAAATTGGGAAAAATTCCCTGTTCCTTTCTCGGTGGTCCTGCTGATATCACACTTTAAAATGCGAATACAGTCTAATGTATAGTAAATTTTATATATTTTTTCTGATATCATATAAGCATTTCCTGATATCAAATAACTTGGATTATATCTCTATGTTGGAATCTTAAGATAATAAGGACCTTTTTATTTTATTAAAAAAAAACTGGAAACTAATACATTAAAAGATTTGAAAAGATTTTTATCAAGTTCTTATCTAATTACTTCAGGTATCTACCTATATATGTGAAATATCTATTGTTTATCATAATACTTTGATTAATTTTATTAAAAACAAACTGAAAACTCATTTTATAACCATAAAACATCATTCTAATGCCATGATTGATATGTATTCTATAGTATAAAATATGAATCAAACACAATTCCTGTTTATATATTAACTCTCTTTTATATATTGAGTGCCAATATGTAAATATATTGACTTTCGACTCATACATCCTATTTATATAAGTTAATTTTCTAACATTAAAGAGAGTTTTAACTTTTAAAAAGTAGTAATAAATAATTTGATTTTATTGTTGACATAAAAAAGAAACTAAAGCCTACAAATACATGTTTTAGGTTTGAAAACTAAAATATTCTATGAATATATGTCTTATATTCAAAATTCATCTAAAATTTGAATTAAAAAGGAAGACAGTATATTTCACAATATAAAAAATATAGATTCTTCTGTATTTTTTATATTCCTCTAGAATTATTATTCTCCCTCTCTATCAAATAGCATATACTAAAATTTTATATTGATTTATGGAAATTCAATAATAAAGTGATGCCATATAAGCTAAAAAACATATTACAAAAATATATTTGTTTAAAACATTTCATTTTCTTTTTAATGTAAAAAAGAATGAAATTTAATAGATATCAGTTAATTAAACTCAGTAGAAAAATATAATACAAACCTAATAGGGAATGTTGGATCATATTCAAAATGTTTTAATTCTTTAGGATAACCAATTGAGACCAAACGATCTAAGAGTATATGAAATTCCATTGCTTCATATTCAGGACTGTTGTAATCTTGGGGAATAAATAATATATATTTTATTATTATTATATTTATGAAATTAATAAAATGAGTATTTTGATAAAATTCTTATAAACTTACGTGCCAACGTATAGTCCATATCAAAACCGAAGAACTTTATCTTATCGAGGTGCAAACTTCTATTAACAAACACCCTAAAAACAAAAAACAGATATTTTAATTTATAATAATTTTTTTTTACTTATAATTTTTAAAATAATTTGAAGTATTTTTACAAAACCTGTACAGAAATTTCAGATATATTAAATCTTAAATTTAATCAAATAAAATAGTTAAAATAACTAATTTTGAGCTAGTAGTTATTAGAAAGAAATAAGTCGATAGTGTTTAGGGCACTACTTCTGAATTTTAACTTTAGGGAAAGTAAGTATAACACAAAATAGTGTCTGGAAAAGCTCTTGACCCCATTAATCATTAGACCAAATTTTATTCTTGTCAGTATATTTGCAAGTATTTTATTTTATTTTTTTATTCATTAATAATGTTAATAATTATTTAATAATGTTGTAGAACTTAGAAAGAACTCTATAAGTAAACAATATATTTTTTAAAAAAATTAATTAGTATTGTTGAAAATTTATATGTATAAAAACAAGATCAGATTTATAATTTTTCTCTCTTATTTATTGATTTTTATTTATTAAGGAGGTACTATATCATTAATCTTGCACTTAAAATCAATTATTAATTTGCATATAATATATAGATTATTATTATTATTTATAAGTAAACTCTGTCAAGAACAGAAAGAACTTGTTGATCTTGAAATAAACAACATGTTTGCCAAACTACTAGCTTCAAATATGCATAAGATAAAACACGTAAAAAATTTGTATTTGCATTATGAATTAGTAAAGTTTATAATCATAATTTACTTGATTAAAAAAATTTTTCAAAAGTTAAAAATACAAAAATCAAAAAAGCAACATAAATATTAATTAAAATAATTTCATGAGAAACTATAAACAAATTTTTATATAAACAAAAAATTTATTTATGATGTCTTTAGATATCTGAAAAATATTTATAATAAAAAAATAATAATAAATTTTAATTTTATATTTGATAAATGAAAAAATAAAAGATTGAAAATTATGACAAATGCATGACAGATAAATGTTTTCACTTTCAACAGCTGCAAAGAGATTCTGAAATATGTTGTGCCAAATAACATGACATTTGATAAAAACATTAAAAAAAAAAGTTTATTTATTTAAATCAACAACACTGATTTTATTTAAAGAAAACTATTAAAATTATATAAATTAATAATTTTTAAAAACTCTCTTATACAGATTTTATTAAAAAAAACAAATAAAAAGGACATTCTTAATGTAAAAAAAGTGAATGATTCTAATGTCAAAATGCATTTAAACTGACAAAATATATTTTTTAACAAAAAAAAAATTGTTTATCAAAATAGAATAAAAATAAACTGGTAAGTTATTTTCCAAATTTTTAAAAATATATAATTTTAAAGAGAAAAAATTTCTTAGGCCGATTTTATAAGATAAGATTATTATTTTTGATAACAACAACTCGCACAAACAACTGAAGTGACTAACGTAATCAAATATGACGATTACATCATTTGACATATTGTAATAAGGAGAAAAAAAGTTATATATCTTCCGGAATTTATCTATCTATTCTAATATCATATATAAATACTTGTTTTTGTTTTGTTTTTTCTTAACGCGCAACGTAATTCCGATTATTTTAAAACGATACCTTTCGGGGATATTTCGCGAAGAAACTTGATTTTCTAACTTCATGTTGTTTGAAGAAAAAAGCGAATAGTGTTTTCCTCTCCCGCATAAAGTCAACTTTAAAGTCGTAGTTGGCAAAAACATCCGAGGTTATCACATGTTTGTTGTCGTGCTCTCGCACCTCTATACGCAATAGTTTAGACGACTTTCATTGGTCCCTGGCATGTCCTTTAATGCCTACACAGGAAGTTCTTATATCCCCCCTCACGTCATGATTAACGAATGTAATTCGACATTTCCTCTCTTAATATCGAAAGTGCCAAAGTTTTACCCTTACCTGTGATGAGTCGATCTGTAGTATTTTCGGCTACTTATTCCATGCAGAGGCGAAATGAAAGATTCCTCTGTCTCCACGCTTTCGTCTTTTACAAACTGTGATTCCATTTTTACCGATACTTTTAATTCACCAACTGTAAATAAGAAAAATCTACTTTAATTAATAATAAGAAAGTCGAGATAACACGTTAAAAGTCAAATATTGTTGACAAATACGTGTCAAAAGTCACATGTTTAACAAACTTGTCAATTACACGATTTATTTATTATTATTATTATTATTGTTTTTTTAAATACTTTTGCATAATGAACAGGAAAAAAATGATGACCTAGACCGTTAATTACAAATAAGTGAAAACTTATCCTTAAGCATTTTAATACGAGATTTATGTAAAAATTGACATTTGGCCTATTTTTGCATGTTATAGCCCTTGCCCTATATACACTGTTCTTAACATCTTAAATTTAAAATGTTATATTTGTTGCAAACGTATAACAAATATACTAATTTTTTAAAATAATCTTTCTTTTCAATGAAAGCAATCCTATTTAACAAATCAGATAATAATCCAACAGAGTAATCAACTAAAAAAGTTTTTAATTTTTTTTCTAGAATAAACAGAATTTTAATAATATGCAGAAATAGTTGCATTGTTATTTAAAGTAATAGGTAGTGTATTTTTGTAACAAACAATAGTATATATTTTAACTCTAAGCTCTAAAATTCTTTGTTCTACATCAGTGTTTTTCAACCTTCTTGAATATGCGATGCCTTTACAAGTTAAAAAATTCTGGCAACCCCCAGGACCATATTTAAACTATATCAGTGATTTTAAAAACTACATATTTAATTTTCTTTCTTTAAATATCGATTGAAAAACCAATTGTACTGTAAAATAAACAGGCATAGCCTTCTCACTGAAATTCTAGTTTTTTTTATTGTAGTCTAGGATCTACAAACACTTGTCTTTTTCTTTCACCCGTGACCCCCCCCGGTGTAANTGAAAATTTTTATTAAAAATATATTTCAGTAATATACATTATGATTCTTCTTGTAAAATTTGAATAATCTTACTGCAACAATATCTGATAAATATGCCTTGTTTACATATACATGGAAAAATTAACTAATTTAATACTTTATTTATTTGGAAAAACAAAATTTCAAGACTATTAAACATTATTCTGATATGTTTTTGTTAAAAAAGAATCAGTTTTGTCCAACTATTAACTTACTGTAGTGATATCTAACAACGAATTTACAGAATTTTAATAAATTTGTTATAGTTATCTTATTAAAATCTAAAAAATGAAAAATTAGTTCTAAAGGTTTTTGTAAGAAATGCAATAAAATCATTTGTAAAAATTTTAATTTTAGAAAAACAAATATGATCTCTTTATTATATTATTAGTTTCATCATATTTATTGTAAAATCAATCAGTTATATTGCTCCTGATGCCAAGTTTGAGCTGGCAATTATTGATAAGCAATATCCAATTAGGAATGCAAATAATGCAGACATTTTCAATCTTAAGAAAAACAAATTTTCTACTTCATATAATGCTTGAAAATCAAATAAACTTTAATGATTTTTACCTAATGTTTGATTTTCTAAAAGTCAGATTACTTGTAGCAGTATTGTTTGCAATACTGCTACAAGTAATCAATTCCTTGTTGCAAAAAGATATTAAAATATTTTCTGGCACAGTTTTTGATTTCATTTAAAACAATTAATTTGGCACTTACGTAATGGTTAATTTTCTGTTATGGATTTCTAAATTAAATATGTTATTATTTTATGTGCCCACCAGTGGCCGAGCGGATTTTGTACCCTGAACACTGGGAGTTTGGTCATGGGTTCGTGCCTCGTTCAGACAGGTTGGCCACGTGGAGTTTCCAGGTTTTCTCCACATCTGTAATGCCTAAATAGAGGTCAGTTTCCCTTAAAAAGACCTCCCGGAAGGCATCCCCCCTAGGCAGATTGCCCAAATGTTGCATTGCCATAACTAAACTAAACATAAGGTTATTATATAAAATGTTTCATAGATTTTTCAAATAACTTACAGAAAATTATTACATAAATTGTTATAAAAACTGTCAAATAAATGTACAGGATACATGTATCGTCAGATACAATTTGTATAATTTGTCTTTCAAATATTAAAGTAACCAATAAAAAATAAGTAATACCAATAAAAACACAAACAGTTACAAGTAAAACTTAAATTTTTATCTAAGAATAAAAAGTTAAAAATACAAACAGAAAATATTCACAATAAATCTACATATTGAAAAAATATTTTAAAAAAGGATTTTTAACCATAAAATAAAATTTAAAAATTAGATTTTGCAAAGTCTCATGAATTTTATATAAATCAAATTTTCTGATACTTTGATAACAAAATTAACCAGCCAATTTTATTTAAAATAAACTGATTAAAAACAGTTGAAAGTATTAGTCATTTTTAAAATAAAATTGCTAGTTCAAAAGGTTTTTTTATTTTCATTATTATGCTATAACCAGTTGTTTTTCTTCAGGTTTATCCTCATATTTCATTCTAGAAATGTTTTTTGAATGGAAAATCTGTATTGGAACGAAATTCATTTGCAAAAAGCTCATTGTTTTATGTACTGCTGAACCTGTTTATCTCAAATATCTTTATCTCAAAAACCTCTTTATCCTCAAAATTTATTTATTTTTCTCCCTGCATTTTCAGCCTAAATTCAATACATTTTCCATGTTTATCTCAAATAATTCTCTCTAAAACCTCTATCTCAAGTTATGGACTGAACTGTCTATTACAAATTCAAAGCTCAGTGACTACATTTTGATAATATAAATTGTAGATGAGAAATATCTCTTGCAATACAATACATAGTTGCAACTGATGCTGTTTTTCTCCGATTGGTTACAAGTTTGACTTGCTTCATATTGGTTGAAGAAAGTCAGACATCAGAAACTATTTCTATTAAAAGGTATGTCAAAAATGTTTTATTTATACCTAATACAGGTTGTACATTACTTGTTATTGCATTAATAAAATACCATATCTCCAGTCAAATCTATTACTGTTTACTGTGGAGGAACCTCTATTTCTCAAAACCTGTCTATCTCTAGTTTTTTCTTGTTCCCTTGAGATTACACAGTTGAACTTGTCTGTCTTGAATGATTAATATTCAGAAGATTTTAATAGATCATTAATTACAATGATTATTATAGATTTATAACTTAAAAATAAACAAAAGTATGATTTCATTTTCCTCAATATACCACTGAATTAATTCTATCCTACAAGTACAGTACTTACTACATGAAATGCAGGGCCTCTCAGAGGTCAAGAGATGCTCAGACAACGTACCTTCTTTATGCTCTCAATATATTTTATTAAAAAAATGGTAAATAATTTATTTTAAAAAATATCATTTGTCAATTTTTTTTCTTAATATACAGCAAATGCAATAAAATGAATAACTTTATAACATATGTTTTTAAAGTTCCTGTAAGGTCAGCCCTAGGGCAGATTTTTATGACTGAATTGGATGGCACTTAAAAATTTATGAAAATGCTACTACTTACTAACATTCACTCCACCCCATCCTACCCCCCCCCAAAAAAAAAAATTGAATGATTTTTTTTGGTTAATAACTAAACATTGATTATATTTTTAAATTTTGATCTAAAAATTATACTTTTCATATTGACTATAAATATTTGCAAATTTAGAACTTAAAATATTTAAACAAGTAAACCATAGCTTAGGAAAAGATATGCATCAGTATATAAAGGTTATGCATATGCCTGAACAGAAATTAGCCACTACCATTTTACAAAATATAAGCACTGTAAAAGTGAAACTAAGAAGACAAATTGTGTCCTGTCTTATTTCAATAAAGGACAAGGACAGTTTAGCTAAAATAAAAGATTGTCCTTTATTTTAAAGGATGTCTGACAACCTTGCCCTAGATCAAATAACCCTACTAGTCCCCTCCTATGATAGGGACTGATGAAATAAAATATAGGATCATAATAAAATTCAAAATGTTTGCATATTATGCTAAAATCTATACTACTACTTCAATTAATTTATAAAGTAATTCTGCTAGATTTACTTCTAGAAGTTAGAAAGTCTGAACTAATTTATTTAATACCTTCCAGAAATATTTTTTCTCATCCTGGGAATCTCAAATCCAAAAATAGAACACTTTTTAGAGTTTAAAAACTCTGGAATTTAAACTCAATCTTTAAAAATTAAATTCAAAACTGAAAGAAAAACAAAATTCTATGAAATACTTTTTGGATTAAGAGATTCTAGAAATAAGAAAAATCCTTCTCCTTAAAAGTACTAAATAAGGGTAAAAAGTTATTTTTTCTGACCCTTGAAAGGAAGCTTAAAAGAATTGCTTTGTAGATCTAATTGTTATAATATATATTTACATTTAAATTATTATTAATTATTATTATAAATAAGAAGTTTAATAATATCATTGTTAATTAATTATCTTTGACATTTCCTTCACTTCTTCATAAATCTTAATTCCAATGAAAAAAAAAAAAATCTGAAGTTTATAAAATAATCTTTTGTTATAAAAAAATGAGTCTATTGATAAACATTTTTTACAGAGTATATCATCATATTTCAGAATTTTTTTTTCAATTTATCAAAACTGTTTTGTTCTAAGAACTTAACTACAGTTGTCTTGACTGTTTAGTAACAAAACAACAAATACAGTCATATAACAATGCACTATTACTTGGTAAAAGTGCCAAAATGTTATATCAGGAGTGGATAACCTTTAGGTCATTTAAAGGACACAGTTGAATAAACAAAATTTTTACTTGAACATTATATTATATTCTAAGTTGTGTTTAAAGAAATATCATGTATAAAATTATCATTAAAACCATATAAAATTTTTAAAAAGATAAGGGTTTAATTATTTTCTATGAACACTTTTAATAGAAACTATTATTATCTTGAGAGAAAATCTAAGTAAAAGTAAACTATTTGCTAACTTTTACAAAAATTACTAAAAATACAGTTTTGCAAGTAATACAGAAAGCTTATTTTTGGAACAAGAAAAATTAAAATATGTAGAAATTTGTATTTAATAATTTTATTAAAAAATTGTTTTCATCATATTGTTGTTTTCTAAAATATTAATTACACATTAAATAAAATCTGATATTTTTATATCAATAATAATAAATTAATAATTATGTATTACACAGCATATAAATATTAGTATAACTTTTATAAATTTACTATATATTAAGTAATTAGTTAAAACCGTAAGCTATATTTTTAACTGAAAAAAAAATATAAAACCAGAAATAGAAAATTTAAACATAAAACTACTACTAGTTTTATGTTTAAATTTTAATTACACGTTTAATTTATAACGTTATAACAACATATTTAATTGAAATAAAATATTTTTTAATGATATAATTTAAGAATACTTGCCATAAGGAGCAGAAAAGGATCTTTCTCTGCAAATGTTTAATACAGACTCTTTGTTTTCAACAGAAATGTGCTCATCCATGTTTAACAGCTATTACTTACTGTAGATTTCTTTAACTCTTTCTCAACTTACTTATGTTCTCTAATGGAACTGTATAATCAAAACTATGACCTCTTTGATATGATAACAGCAATTAAGAGATAAGATTTAGAACAGGAGCAAGTTGTTGTTCGTGATATTTTGTTAATATAATCTATGATATTTATAAAATATGAATTATTAAATATGTCTATATAACAAATATATTCTAATATATATGTTATATATATTAGAATTTGAAAGCATTTGCAATACTGTCTATCGGCATTATCAGAACAAGATTTAGAGTAAAAAATACAGTATTTGCAATTTATTTTTCATAATAAACTATCTCCTTGAGAATATTTTGCATAAAAAATATAATAGTAATCATTTTATTTTTATAATTGAAATTTATGATGCAAATTTGCTTAATTATAAAACTGATATTTTAGGGATATTTATCATATAAATCATGTTATTCAATCTGCAGTATATCAGTTTTTTCAGGGACATATTCTATTCACTTGTAAAGCTGCTCACAGACAGATAAAAAAAAAATGCAAAAATCAATTATGTTAATTTTTAATGAATATTACATTTTTCCAAATGAAATTTTAATAATTATATAATTAAAAATATAGATTAAAATATAGTATTATATTTGAATAATATTGTGTAACATATTTCCAGAAATTAATAAAAATAACACTCTTTTTCTAGCTATTAACTCATTTACTTGCAATTTCTGATTATATTAAAACAAAAATTTATTGATTATCATAATCAATATGAATTAATATAAAGCTTCATGGATTTTATACATAAAGCTAGCTTCATATAGCATTTGCTGATTTTAAATTATATCAAAATAAATCTAATTAAAAAGAACATTATAATAATCAACTTTTATGACATTAAAATTACTATTGTAACTTTATACATACAGTTTTTCTTATAACTCAAACTACAAATATCCAGATATATATTATTTGGTAGTTACTAGGGATCAGTTTAGTGATTCTATTAATATATTATTACTAGAATGGTTTATGTTATTTACTAAGAAGCTGATTTTTTTTATTTTTAATTACTTTTACATTTTGATCTGAAGAAAGCAAGTCAGCAATCTATAAATAAAACTGTATCAGTATTATATGTTACCATATATAAAGTTACTATGTAAATATATTATATAAGACTATCATAATATATAGTTTGAAATATCATGTTAAAATCCAGATTTAAAAAAAAAATTTATATTAAAATTGCCTTCAAGTATTTAAAAATGTAAAAAATGACTATCAGTCTTGGCAAATAATCTATACATTAAATAGTTCTGCTAATCAATATGTTTATTTTATTACTTAATGTAATAAACTTATAAATTTATCACTTAAATTATTATGCAACCAAAGTAATATCTCATGAGAATAATGCTGTTTTTGAAAGTAATCAGTTATCATAAATATATATATTCTTATTCATTTCTGATAAAGTTCTTAGATAGGTCAAGATAAATGTTGGTATGTTATCAGATGTATATATTAATTTATTCAATACCGATAAAATTTTTATAAAGATAAGTATTAAATTATTTAAACTATAATTTTTAATTCTAAAATCATTTCTATCCATATACAGTATACGATTTTCAATTAATGATTATAATAAATTGATTACTTTGTATTTAATTTGAGACATTAAGATGTAAAATTCTCAGCAATAACCAAAATAATTATTATATATATGTTTAAAACTTCCAAATTTCTGGAAAAATTAATCATTTGAAAAAATGTTCATTTACATTTTCTTAACATAAGAACATTTTTAGACCATAAATAAATTGTAAAAAACTTATTTATGTTCTTAAAATCTAAAATAAAAAAAATAAAAATCTCTTAAAGTTTCAGAAAATATTTTTTGACATTAAAAAAAGTTATATTCTCTTCGTCATTACTAAATTTTATCTCATTAATCTGGAACATTATAAGCATTTTTTTGACATCCTCAGCTCAATTTCTTTTTTTATACATTATATAGATACAGATAGAAGACAAAAATATTAACAAGAAATACAGCGAGATGAGGCCCATTAGAAGGCGAGGCCTCCAGGTATGTTCATACATTAATAATGTTGATAGGAATGCATTAATCTTCAACTTACTTTGAAAATATAAATATGTTATGATTTCTATTCTGTAATTATACTAGAAAAAACAAGATCTCAATATGAAAAACTGTTTTTAGATTTTTTTTTTAAATAAAAAATAAACTTGAGATTTATTAGAAGATACTTGAATGAAATTTCATACATACAATACATACTATCAGGAGATAAACTGAAAATTCAAAAATTTTCTAATATTAAATTTGGGTTAAAAAAATAAAAAATAAAATAAAATAAACAGAACTTTTTTTAATGAAAACAAAATCTAAAAATAGTAATGTATTTAAAGACTTAATATAACTGATGATTATTTGAGAAACATATGTTGAATTACCTTGTAGTTACAATTTATAATAAAAAATTAAACCATAAACCGACCTATTTCGTTGTGGATTCCTCTAAAGTGACGTTTCCTTCCACCATTTCTAATAATCAGCTGATTGCAGTAAACCATTCACCGTATGGATGACATCACTCTAAAAGCATGACATTAAATGGAGAGAAAAATATGTTAATTTCTTACACTCATTACAAACTTATCTGTAGTAAATAGAAAATTAATCCTTTTCATTTAATGAATGAATTTAAATAGAATGATAATAAATGCATTTTTTTTCCTCTCATTGTTATGCATTTACACTGCATGTAATCGCATTTCTATGCTTTAGTAATGGCTTCCGCAATCTTTATTACCAGATTATTATTATTATTTCGACATTTAAAAATTACTTTTCTTGTTTTTTTCTATCTTTCCTCTGTATTATATCTTATATTAAAGAGTTTTGTTATTGCTTTAGCTCTGAGTAATTTTCTAATTAACATTATTACTTAAATTTCGCTTGTTCAAAATGAACTGTAATTTATAATATTTATTCATATTGTAAATAGATATTATTTCCGAAAAATTCATACAAAATTTGCAATCAATATAAAATAAATAAAATTTACATAATAAATGATTCATGGATCTTCTTGAATCTATAAAACTTATTCGGGAATTGACAAAATTCCGGGAATTTTAACGCAATAATATACAGTCATTTTATAAATATATCTTGTGAAATAAATAAATGATGATGGTATATAATTAAATTATATATATATTTTTAATCAGAGAAATCATATTAACGAAAAACATCGTAAGGAATTCTTTGTTTCGGATACAATTCTTCAATGGTTTTCAACAGCCGTTTGCGGTCATACATCATAAGTAAATTTGCGGCTGAGATTTAGTTTTAAACTCTGTGATAATTATAATAATTACATTAACTTACAGGCTAATATTCTATTAATCTATAAATGACGAAACATACCTTTAGAAATGTTAGCTCAGTGGCATTATCTTCGTTGGATTGAAGAAAGGCGGCACTTCAGATTATCGATTGAGCTTGTGAATGTATCGATTTAAAAATTTAAACGTTAACACAATATAAATTTTGTAATCTGTTCTTCTGTATTTAAAAAAAAAACAACAAAAAACACTTTCATAATTTTATTACACATCATTGAGTTATTATGCCATTTATTTAAAACCATTATGTATAGACTATTGTAAATTATTTAAATCCATTTAATGATTAACTTATTATATAATTATTTGTTTAGTATTTGTCGTCTTAAGTTTCATATTTATTATAAATATATACTTTTCTAGTGATAATAATTCTGAAATAACATTAATATATCAAGGCAATTAGATTTATATATATATATATATATCATGCTTTAATTCTAAATCAAAGCAAATAAACTTAAAAAATTATTTGATTATATATTATATTTTGCATGATTTATCATCAGTAAAAAATTAATTACTTAATGTTTCCAGTTAATAATTCTTATTTATATGGAAATTTTAAGAAAATTTTTTTCACTGTTTTAAAAATTACGTAAAAAAAACGTACGGCTTTTATGATGTAACATACGTTACATAAAATCTACACTTAGGACATATGTAAACGTTCCTATGTAAACGTTTACAATAGAAAAATTGTATATAATTACTATTAATATTGAAAAATATGCAATCCCATGTTACTATGATTAAAATACGTAAAACATTCTGATTATGATTGATTAAAATTGTTAATTTCGCAATTAATATCAATAAATTGCTGTCAAGTGACAATAAAAGGTCTTCGTTACATTGAATAGAATTTAAATTAGGTAATCTTAGAGTGAAGATAAGAATTATTAAATCACTTATTTAAATAATTATATTTACAATGAAACCCATCTTAACGGACACAGTAAATCGTTATCGAGTCCTCGTTTGGAGTTTGGAGTCAAATCGATTCAAAAACTACCTTTTCTGACGCGTTTTTAAAATCGATTCGATTGTATATTTTTATTATGACACTAAAATTTTTGTTGGCTAACTCCTTGCACCTCACGACCATGATTAGCAGAAACATTTTTCAATGCACTAACATATGCAACTGATCGAAAACAGCTCTGCGAACAATGGACAGTTCATTTAGTCCCATATTGTCATACCTGTGGTCTTGTGACCTGTGTTTACCTTCTTTCTTTATTCACATTCTCGTGGATCCATTATCGGTCGAGTGGATAAAACCACTAAACATTGATAGCGAATTTGTCCCTTCTCAGACTTGCTACGTAAAGTTTACCAGGTTTCCTTCAAGTGTTTCGGGAGTCAGTCCTCACATGGAAGATCGTCCATTTGTTGCATTGCCTTATTCCATCAATCCAATCCAATCCATATTCTCGTGTCGCGTATGATGAGTTAAAATTTTTCCGAATAGTCAGTCAGCGATAGAAACAATTGCTTTTATCGTTCAAACATCCTAAGTAAGACAGACATCCATTTAAGCTAATGGATCTAATCTGAATTGATTGCCAAACAATCCGTTCGGCTTTGTCAGCGTTTTGAACGATGCTTGAAAAGCTAACAAAGCAATTCAA